AAACATAATCCAAACAAGATACACAGACTAGACTTGACTTGACGAGGCATGAACAGACTTGACGAGGCATAACAGACTTCACCAGCAGCGGGATAAATACATTCAATACACGACGACAGACAATGGCAACATGATGGCTACTTATCTTGAATGGCGGCCATGTTGTGAAGAATCTCTTGATGTGTCAGCATGACATGAGCAAGCTCAGGCTTGACCGACGTGACGTGAAGAGGACTTGGCGTAGCAGACATGATGGGAGCAGGCTCTGGTTTGGCAGACATGATGTGATCAGACTCTGACTTGGCAGACATGATGTGATCAGGCTTTGACTTTGTAGACATGACATGAGTAAAGTTTGACTTAACTGGTATGATTTGAGCAGGTCCTGGAGTAGCGGGCATGACGTGAGCAGGCTGTGGCTTGGCAGACATGAATGAGAGCATGACACATACACAAGGCAGAGAGACATGAGGCAAGGGAAGCATGACACTAACAGCAGGAAACATTTACAAAATAAAAGACATGGAAAACATGAACATGAAACAAAACCCAAACCCCACATTACAGGATCACATGAATCACAAACATTTCTATGCAGCTACCACTGGAATCGTGATCCATGAATAAATGTATCTGTTATGATAGTATAGGTAATAATAAACATCGTCACTGTTGCAAAAAAAAAAAAAAAGCCTAATTTGTTTTATTTCACAATAATAGTCTTGTCGGGGCTAAAATTTGCCTATACGCATTAGCTATAGTATTACACTAGCATAAAAATAATAATAGCCATTATTATTATTATTATTATTATTATGGCTATTTTGTCATAACATTGAAGTATGCTATTATTGATAACAGCCAGGCTATAGTCTTCCAGCCTAACATACCTGGAACCGTGGCAAATTGAATGACAGCACTTATCGAATTGGAGGTGTCCATTCGGCTTTTTAATGAACGGGAATTTTACAATAGAATATAAAAACAACTAGAACAAAAGTTGCTAGGCAACAGTGACGTGCATCTTCAACCGCGGGAAAAAGTCACAAAAGCAGAAATTATACGCCGTCTGTAATGCGAACGGTCAATTTGACCGCTTTAGC